TTGCCATTCTCACCTTTGGATAGGTTTCCTAAACTGAAATCTGGCAAAGATTTAAACTATACCACAAATCAACTGTACTTAAACAGAGATTTACAGAATATTTCATATAACAGATAGGGACTATATGTTCTCAATAGTAATAGAACTTTCTCTAAAGTCAATCATGACTGGTGGTAAAGACAACCCTAACAAATGCAAAGCAATTAAAAATAATTCCTTGTGTCTTAACATACAATGGTAGAATAAAACTAGGTATTAACAGCAAGAGAAAACACAGAAACAACACAAATACATAAATATCAAATAATAGAGTTTCATATAAATAGTGAAGGAGATTTTTAAATTCTTCAATTAGTAAACAAATCATAGCATACTCTACCAAAATGTCTCAGGTACACCCAAGAAGTTGTAAGAGGAAGTTTAAAAGAAGTCAGAGAAATCTCAACCCAGTGACACACCTCAAGGTTCTAGAACAAGAAATCAAGTCCAAATGCAGCATCCAGTGAGATAAAAGTCAGAGCAGAAATTATGGAAACAGAGATTAACAGAACAATGCCTAGACAAATTTATGTCTTGAAGAGAGAAACAAGATTGACAATCCCCTGTTCAAAAAAATCAAAAGACAGAATGAACTCAGGTCCTCTACAAGCACAGCCAGTACTCTTAACCACCGAGCCATCCAACTTGTACAGTCACTTTGGAGATTAGTATGGAGATTCCTTAGGAAAATGGGAATCAGTCTACCACAAGATCCAGCAATTCCACTCTTAGGCATATACCCAAAAGATGTACACTTATACAATAAGGGCTTCTGCTCAACTATGTTCATAGCAGCATTTTTGTAATAGCCAGAGCCTGGAAGCAACCTAGATACCTCTCAACTGAAGAATGGATAGAGAAAATATGGTACATTTACACAAGGAGTACTACTCAGCAGAAAAAAAATGGAATCTTGAAATTTGCAGGCAAATGGATGGCACTAGAAGAAACCATCCTGAGTGAAGTAACCCAGTCACAAAACGACAAATGTGGTATATACTCACTCATATATGGATTTTAGACATGGAGTAGGGAATTACCAGCCTACAATCCCACCACCAGAGAGTATGGGAAGCAGGGAGGACCCTAAGAGAGATTTGCATGGTAACCTGGAGAAGGGTTGTGAGACAAGATCTCCTAATTGGATTGGGAGCAGGGGAGGAGAGGGGAGAAGGAGATGGGAGAAAGAGAGGGGGGAAAGAGGAGGGGAAAGGAGGACACGGGGGAGCAGGAAGGTTGAGTCAAGGTAAGAATAGAGGAGAGAAGGATGAGAGATACCATAATAGAGGGAGCCATTATAATTTGGAGGAGAGATCTTCATAGATCTACAAGAATGACACCACCTGGCATTAAGGCTACCTTAAATGCCCTCCCATGATAGTGAGATTGACCTTATATGCCATCATAGAACCCACATCCCATGGCTGACAGAAGCAGAGGTAGACACATACAGCTAAAACTCGGACTGAACTCCTGGAGCCCTGTTGCAAAGAGGAGTGATGAGCAAAGGAATCAAGACCAGGCTGGCGAAACCCACAGAGGCAGCTGACCAAAACAAGGGGGAATGCATGGACCCCAGACTGATGACTGAGAGGCCAGCATGGGACTGATCCAGACATCCCTCCCACTGAACCTGGGTGTCAGAGAAGAGGCCTTGGCAATCTATGGGACCTTGGAGAGTAGATCAGTATTTATTCCTAGTATACAAATAGAATCTGGGAGCCCACTCCACATGGAGGGATGCTCTCTCAACCTGGACACGTGGGGAAGACCTAGGCCCTGCCTGGAATGATGTGACAGACTCTGATAGTCCCTCATGGAAAGCCTTACCCTCCTTCAGAAGCAGAGGGGGTGGAGTGGGGTAGGGTGTTGGGAAGGTTAGGGGGTGGGGGAGGAGGGGAGGGAGAGGGAACTGAGAGTAACATATGTAAAAAGTTAAATAAAAACAATTATTATAAAAAAGACAAAATGAAATTGGAGATGAAGACGAAGTTACAGCATTGGACTATAAGGAAATAAAGATCACAAAAAGAGAAACATGGTATGTACTCACTCATTTATGAATTTTAGACATGAGTCAGGGGAGTGCCAGCATACAATACCACTGCCAGAGAGTTTGGGAAACAGAACCTTCATCCAGCAACTGATGAAAGCAGAGGCAGATACCCACAGACAGACACTGAACTGAACTCTTGGAATCCAGTGTCAGAAAGGGAGAACTGATAGGCAAAGGAGCTAAGACTGGGCTGGCTTAACCCACAGAAACAGTTGACCTGAACAAAGGGGAGCTCTTGGACCCCAGATTGATGAATATGTGGAAAGCATGGGACTGACCCAGACCCCCTGAATGTGGGTGTCAGTGAGGAGGCCTAGGTAATCTATGGGGCCTTGGGTAGTATTTATCCCTGGCACACATATAGACTTTGAGTGCCCATCCCACAATGAGGGATGCTCTCTCAGCCTGGACTCCTGAAGGAGGGCCTGGCCCCTACCCTGGATGACATGACGGACTCTGGAGATCCACTATGGAGGGCCTCACCCTCCCTGGGAATCGGAGTGAGATTGGGTGGGGGACTGGGGGGCCTGGTGGGGAGGGCGGGGGAGGAGGGGAGGAAGAGGGAGCTGGGATTGACATGTGAAACAAGATTGTTTCTAACTTAAATTTTTTAAAAAGGGATAAAAGGAAGATCACTAAGGAAAACTTACTTTCTAACACACTGGAAAACCTAAAAAAATCAATAAATTCCCAAATATATATGAGCTACCCTAATTTGCATTGCTTGTTATGGGATCAAAGCAGTAATTAAGTGTCAATCCAAAGGAAATTCCCAAACTGAACATTCAGTGCTTATTTTAACAAGCTTTTAACGGAGACCTGATACAAATACTTTCCAAGCAAACTATTCCACAAAATAGAAAGTAAAAAGCACTACCAAACTCATTCTTCAGAGCTAGGACTTTCCCATGAAACAGCAAAAGGTGCCAAAAGTACATAAAACAACACAAAAAGAACTATAGGCCAATCTCCCTGATGAACACACATACAAGCTAAGCTTCTCAACAAAAAAATACTGGCAAATTTATTTCAGGACTACAGTAAGGAGATCCCAAATCATGTCCAAGATGTTTTAATCTGAGGGACAAGGGTTTGTTGATCATATGCAAATCAGTAAATGTAAAATATAAATAGACTTAAGAACAGAAATTGCTGATCTTCTCAATAGATGAAGAAAGGGTCTTGACAAAGTTTAACATGCCTTCTTGGTAGAAGTCTAAAATAAATTAGAAATCGAATGAATATATCTCAACACAATCAAGGTTCTATACAATATATACCCAATATTATATAAAATTAGAGAACAAAAAAGCATTTCCTTTAAAATCTGGAATGAGACAAATCTCTCCTGACTGGTATTCATTGTAGTACTTGAAGTCTTAGCTAGAACAAATAAGACCAGAGAAAGAAATAAAAAGGATATAAATAGTAAAAGAATAAAATTAAATAGTGTCTATTTGCTTATGCCATTATACTATACTTAAAAGAATTTATTGTCTCCAAAAGTAAGTCTAGGATCTGGTAAATGCCCCCAGGGAAAGTTGCATGATTCAAAACCATAATATATACATCAGTGGCTTTTCTGTACACCAATAATAAGCTGGCCCAGAAAGAAATGAAAAATATCCATTCATAATAGCTTCACAAAAATAAAGATTTCCATGACTAAATCTAATGAGAGGGGTTAAAGATCTCTGCAATAAAATCTTTAAGGTACTAAAAATGGGAATTGAAGAAGACACTAGATGGAAATATCTTCTGTGTTTCTGGCTTGGCAGAATTAATATTGTGAAGGTGGCAATAGCATCAAAAGTAATTGCTACTTCAATGCAATCACCACCAACATCTCAAAAACATTCTTCACAGAATTAGGATGAAAACTGGCATTCACATGGGAACACAAAGTTAAAAGAACACTGTTGGATAGCACAGTGCCTAATGTCAAGTCCTACTACAGAGCAGCGTTGATGAAAACAGCATGGCGCTGGCACAAACCAGACATGTTTGAGAGAAGAATATAAGGCAGGAGCTCAATGCAGTCTCAGGGCAGTCTGAGGTTTCCGTGGAGAGCATTGCAGTTACTCTAAGGACAGGATCGCCCCACTTTGGTCTTAGCCTTGGTAGAGGTGAGAACTCTCTAGTGGCTTGGCTACTTTGTTTTTCTAATCTTTGACCTGGACCCCAATATCCTTCTCTGGGTTTTTATTATTTGTGCTACACTTACCCATCAAATAGTAGGAAAAAACTCTATTCTGGAAACTTCAAATTAAGTTTTGGTCAACTTTGTATCATTAAAATTATTTCACACAGGGCTGGCAAGACGGCTCATCAAGAAAAGGAGCATGAATAGAACCCCAGGTCCTAAAAGTGTAGCCACTGCTATTACCATACAACCTAAAAGTGTAGCCACTGCTATTACCATACAATAGCTTCTCCGAGAGGTAATGTTAGCTGCTTCAAGTAGCTGAGACAAACTGGTTAGCTTATGGAAATGATCATAGCAGTTATGGACACGGATATGTGTGTTATATAGAAAGAAATATAACGTTCCATATTCCATTTAAATGCAGTTTAAGAATTTTCAGCCATAATGACCAACCCCAAATTGGTAATTTCCAAATGTCTACATAGATTGTGGCACTTATAGTAACATCGTCTTTAAACTATATATGATGAATACCAAGATGCCTGCCACCACCATAAGGCTCTGTGCATTCACTGCTCATGAATATTCTCCAATGTAGTTCACAACCTAGCATAATCTACAAGTATCACCTCAAGAAGAAATAAGTAGTAAATTAGACATAGTAAGTATTTATTAAGCTAGCATAGTTTCTACGATGGCTTGTACATCTCAGTCACCAGTGACGTTTGTCTTATCGTTAAGTTTTAAAAATCAACATACGGGAGACACGCAACAGCAAGCTCTTCCTGTGTACATCCTTTAAGGCAGCATTTATCTGAGAAACCTCTGCGCTCCCTTTGGGGATGGTTCCCCCAGAATAAGCTGCTGAAGGTGTTGATTTTGTTTGTGCGTTTCTTCTGAAGCTTTACACCGTCAAAATAGGGATTGGCATTGTGGGATGAAAACTCTTTTGTGTCCTCAGGAAACAAGTTGGCCTTCTCAAACTGATAGATGGGCGGTGGCTGGTCTTCCCAAGTGTTTATTGCTTTCTCCTGAGAGACAGGTGCAAGAACTGTTGAGGGAGAATGAAAAGAAATCCTATTCATCCAAATCTTCTACTAGATGTGAATTTAACATTGGAATACTAAAATCAGCTGATTATTAAAAATCATTTCAAATAAAGGTTGGGAAGTACAGTTATTCAGAGGCAACATAGTTTTAACTAAAATAGGTGCAGTGTTTTCCTATGAGAAGGCTTAGCAACCTTAGAATACTTTGTAATAATAATTTTATTACAATACTACTCACACGCTATAACATTCAGTATTTTACACCAGCGAAATCAGTGGTTTCCAGTTTATCTACAAGCTTGTGCCTCCATCACTACTATCTAATTCCAAACAATTCTCTCACCTCTCAAAAACAATAACAAACAAAACGACACATAAAAGCCAGCAGTCACCATTAACGTTCCCTCCCATGCCCTCTCCCTCTGTTTTCTTTTCTATGAATTTCCCTATTCTGTAAAGTTCACATAAGGGGTAGCTTCTGGTGTGTGGTTATTTTTGTCTGTTTTTCAATTAGCATAATATTCTCCATGTTTATTCAGAATGTCATACGTGTTCCCTCTTTATTCCTTTCATGGCTTAATAACTTCCCATTGTGTGGTTTTCCTACATTACATTTCACTCATCCATCTATCATGTCTTGGATATTTTGGTTGTTTTCATTTTTTAGCTATTATGAATAACACTTCCATGGATATTCACACCAATGTTTGTATGTGTTCATGTTTCCAGTCCTTTTGGGTATAAACCTAGGAGTGGAATTACTAGATCCTATGGTAATTCCAAACGTCTTCTCATGGGCTTATTGTATGTCGTCTTGGGAGGAATACCCATTAAATCCCATGCTCATCCTTATTTGTTCATGTGTTGCCTTTGTTCATTTCCAATCAGGCTGTCTTTGAGTGTAGTTAATAGAAGCACTTTGTTCTTTAACAAAATGCAAAGAGAGAGGTGGAGATGTGCTAAAGGGACAGATTCATTGTTATATTGTTCTGAAGTCAATCAATAGATTGGGTGACAGAAACTAAAATAACTCCTGGATGTCCACTGTGGCCATATTCAGGACTTCCTAGGAGGACATTTTCTTTCCGAGGCCTTAACCTCAGATCCATGCTGTGCACTGCACAACTCCATTGCAAGCTCACAGAGAGAAACCCTATTGTGGTGGATGATGATTCAGGGCTGATGGGAAAAATAGTTGACTCAGTCAGATCCCTGTGTTAGAAGTAAGTAACAGGAAAGAGAAGAGTTAGTGAGATTCAAGACTGGAAAGATTTTATGAGGGTGTTGCGGAATAAAGGAAAATAGATACAAGTAAGAAAAGAAAGGGGGAGAGAGGGAGATAGAGGATTATGGAGCTGGGTCTTCTAAATTCATTACTGGGTCTTTCATTTCTTTCTTTCTTCCATGAGGTCTGCCAGGGATGCTCAGTCCCTGAAGCCAGAGGACTACTTGCTACCTCTTTCTGTTACTGTTATGATTAACAAAACAGAATTATAACTAAACTAAACAGGAAAACCAAGGCAAAAGTGAACAAATTACAGTACGAAAAGAATAGTATAGATAGAACCAAGTTTCTAAATCAATTATTGTTAATTCTTAAACGTTTGGAATCAAGATGAAATGAACTCCTATGAAAACCTTAACACACAAATATACAAAACCCAACTACTTCAATGATAAAGAAATCAAAGGTATAACTAATCATCCTCTAGAAGATTTAAGACATAAAACTTCTAAAAACATAGATGGTTTTAGAGGCGGATTCCACCTACTTTTAAAGAACAGCAGTTTACAAACAGTTCCATGCCACTTTATGAAGCTCACTTATAATCTCTATTTTTAAACCAGGTAAAAACACTGAGATTTTTTTTAAGTTCTAGTAAGTGATTTCACTTACAAACGTAGTTTAAGAAAAAAACCTATTAAATCAGTTAAGTAAATCTCAAATACATTTTACAAACATAGGAGAAAGCTTATCCCAGAACAGTACGTGTGGGTCCAGGTCACGAAATGCAGTTCATCGTGTTAATTCAAGTTCAGCCAGCGGCCGCGGCAATCACCAGGGAATTTCACCATTTTGAGCTCATTTCTTAGCATCCATTCCCATATAGTCTCCCTTCCTGCCTATTTGCATAGATAGATGAACTATCCACGCCAGGATTCGTCTCCTCAGTCCTTCCCTGGGTCCTTTATTGGTTTTTACTGCGTGCTTACTCTGTAAACCGGTCTGAATGAACCTTACTGACCTGAGCTGATTCTTTCACTTCCTGGCCAGGCCACCCTGATCCCCTTGTTGCTCCAGGTATAACTCAGATAGAGGTGTCTTTCCCCTGCTGCTTCCTCTAAGCAGACACCGCCACCCCAGCCACCTCTGTGGGACTATTCCCTCACCACCTCTATCCACCGTCATGATACGCTGCCCGGCAGCGGCTAATTTCCAATGAACAAAAGTTGATCTAATTCACGATTTGTAGGTGTGACGGTGTCCAAGGCCCTTCCTGTAGCATCATTCCATAGCGGAGGTGGAGGAGGATGAAGTTGCTTTTGCAGCACATTCACTCAGGATAACCTCCATCTATGATGATGGCCTGAATTCATCTCAAGGACGTTTAGTTCCCTTTTAGTAGACCCTACCTCCTAACACTGCTGCACGGGGGACTAACCTTCTAACACACGGAATTTGGGGGATATATCCAAACCACAGCAACGTCTTGTGTCAAATGTTATCTTTTTAATAAGGCCGACTCTGACCACATCATTCTATATCTAAAGTAAACTTCCCATTGGTTTGTATGTTTTAAAACTGTAGTTACATGTATTCTAGGCACAAATTTCTTTTTCCTGCAGAAACTCACTGGTGGAGCAACGTCGAGTCTAAGAAATGCACAGTGAGAGCAAACACATTCCCTCCCTTCAGAGTTTTACCTGGGTTTGTGAATCTTCCCCAGGCCGAAGAAGGGATTTGCTCAGGGCTGAAGGTTTTGACCTCCTGTGAGGACTGATGAGAGAGCTGTGCCAAAGGTTCGTTTATCATGAACTGGCTCCAATCAGCCTGGCCGCACAGCTTTACAATTTCTAACAGCAGGTGCCTGCCGCACAGCCTCCTGGGTTTGCTTTCCTCTTGCTCCTGGGAGAAAGCAGCCTGTAGGAGTCCAAGCCACAGCAGACATGAACAGCACAGTTGCTTCATCCCTGGGCTCTGAGGCAGGGCCGGGCGCGCTGCAACGGCCGTCGCCCCGCCACGCCCCTCCCCGCCACGCCCCTCCCCGCCACGCCCCCTCCCCGCCACGCCCCTCGCCACGCCCCTCTCACTCAGTCCTCGGGATCCCGCAATCTTCTCCAGAACACTGAGGCTCCGTGTGGGGTGTTCCAGGCTTGCTTTGACTTCCGGCTTGCGGGACGTTGAAGAAAATAGGCTCCTTTTCGCTCAGACGTGAAAGAAATGTCTCGGTTCCCTGGCTTTTATTCATTTTCCTTGTCCTCGCCAAGAGACTGCCATTAAAATATGAGAACATAGGAGGACCCTGAGTAACCACTACACTAATGGAAGATGCTGCAAACTACGCCGGGAACGTGAACTCCTTTTTGCCTAGTGGTTACATGAGGCATCTCTTCCCTTTGAAGAAACATCCTCTCATCTCCTTCATGGGTTATATTTTTCAACTTTAAAAAGTTATTCCTGGAGCTGGAGAGAAGGCTCCTCAGTTAGGAGCCTTTGCTGCTCTTGCCCAGGAACTGGGTTCCTTTCCCAGTAACCCATATGCAGTATGTATATGTGTGCTTGTGCCACAGTGTGCCTGTGGAGGCTGGAACCAGCTCTCTCCATGCACCGCATGGGTCCCAGGGATCGGTCACTTTGTCAGGCTTGGTGGCAAGCGTTTTAAATTGCTAGGGTATTTCACTTAACTGCTACACAGTATAACAACTGAATGGATTTATTTAACTGAAAACTCTATTATTTAAATGACTAATTTTGAGTGAATACATCCTAATATTATAAATCAATTTCAGATTAATTTATTTTGTACCATTAACTTTATTCTAGAACATTATCATAAAATATTTATCTTAAAAATAAAATAAAATAAAATTTATCTTTCTGAGCCAAACATACTTTAACATGATTTACAATTGTATCCATTTTCTTACAAAGATAATCGTTTCATCTTTTCTTAATGAACGTATAAAAATGCCATTGTGTATATTTACCATATTGTCTTTTCAAAATGTAGTTTTTATATTTAAGTGTGGGGGTATGTGTGTTCGAGTGTGGGTACCCACTGAGGTCAAAAGAGCTCAGGTCACCTAGAGCTGGAGGAACAAGTGCTAGGAGCTGCCTGACACGAGTAATGGGAACCAAACTCAGGTCTCCTAAAAGAGCAGCAAGTGCTCTTAACCACTGAGCCCTGTACCAGCATGTTGTAGTAGCTGAAGGACATCTAGGCTGCCCATTCCCATCTATTATGGGTAGTACAGCAATGTACAAGTGAGCATCTCTGTTATATGTTGACTCAGAGTCCCTATGATATATTCTCAAGCACTGTGGGGCTGGGTGAGTCTATATGGTTCTATCTTCAGTTTTCTAAGGAACCTCCATACGGGCACTATGCATTTGTATTCTCACCAGCAGTGAAAAAGTTCTCCTTTTTTCTCACATCTTTGCCAGAATTTTCTGTCATGTGCTTTGTGTATTGATAGAGTGAGATGGACTCTCAAAGCAGTTATAATTTGTATTTCACCAAAGCAGCTATAGCTTGTATTTATTTCATCAAAGCAGTTATAATTTGTATTTCTCTGGAGGGTAAATATGTTTTAGCCATTTTCATTTTTGCTTTTGAAAGCTCAATTCATTAGCCTATTTATTTATTAGAAGACTAACTTTTCTGGTGTTTAAAATTTGCAGTTCCTCGGGTTGGAAAGATGCTCAGCTGTTAAAGGCTAAACACACAACCAAAAATAAAATTTGCAGTTCTTCATACAGTATGGATATTGTTGCCTTTGTCGAATGTGTAATTAATAAACAGTTTTCCCATACTGTAGGCTACCTCTTTACTGTGGTGGCAGGGTTTTTGTTTTTTGTTGTATGGAGCTTTTTAATATCATATGATCGCAGTTTTTAATATTGGGATTACTTCCTGTGCTGTTGGGAGTCCTTTTCAGAAAGTCTCTAACTATAATGTATTTTGAAGTTTTTACCCTATGTTATCCTCATCCAGTTTCACAGTTTTAAGACTTTTGAATTAAAAAAAATACAGCACCGAAGAATCTAATTTCATTCTTGATGTGGAAATCCAGGTTTTCTCAGCACCATTGTTAAAGAGGTTATCTTTTCTCCAAAATATGTTTCTGATACTTTTGTCAAAAATTAGGTAGCTGTAAATGTGTAGCTTCTTTTGGGGGATGCTATACTCTTCCATTGGCCCATGTATATCTTTTAGGGTTGTTTTTGTTTGTTTGGTTGGTTGACAGAAACAGAGTAGCCTAAGGTTTCTTGTAAGCAAGAATCTTAAGGAGGAAAGCGTGGAAGGGATACATTTCAAGAACTGGAATTAAATAACTCTTGACCCAGATTGCTGTGGCTACCAAAGCTATCTTTCAAAATGGATGGATGAATGGGACAATCTTTAGTATCTCTTAGGTATATGATGGTGTCATCAGCAAGTAGGGATACTTGGACTTCATCCTTTTATATGTGTATCTCTTGCATTTCTTTTATTTGTTGCTCTAAGAATTTTAGCACCATTAAGTCAATAGAGAACAACCTTGTTTTGTTTCATAATTTTGAGCACATGATCTCATTTTTCCATTTAGCATAATATTGCCCATAGATGTGTTAGGCTGAGACATGTTCCTTTTATTCCTAGTGTCTTCATGGCATTTGTCATGAAAGGGATGCTGAACTTTGTAGAAGGCTTTTTCTATGTCAACTGAGATGGTCTTGTGTTTTCTGTCCTTGGTGCCATTTATGTGTTGAATTACACGTATTCACTTAGTGTGTTGAACCAAGCTCTTCTTGTGGCTTGAATGAGCATGGGTGAGTTACTTCCTGTTGCATGGGCAACTACACCACTGCAGAAACTGACACCTCTCAGGGAGGGGGTAAGACTTCATAGGCACTTCCAACCCATTCCCTGATCTGTGATGGAATGCCGAAGGGCCCAATTTTGTGCATGTCCAGGTCCAGGAGAAAGTTTTCCAGAGCAATCTTCCATGTAGAGCCTTGCATTTTTTGCCATGCCAGTCTTCCCTGACATCCATGGGCCTTGATGGAGGTGATACAGACGTCCAGGTGAGGGCTAAGCACTAGATTGTCACTTATTCTCTCTACTTTGAGTCATCACAAGTCTACGCATTGACAGCTGCCTTTTCCATCATTTTCAATGAAATTTTACTATATGGAAGTAGTAAAATTTCCATCAGCTTCATAGTGCCAGCCACAGAGAGGCATGTAAGGAATATAGTCAGCACTTCCACCTGTAATTTCCTTCTGTCTTCTGACTCTCTTTTCTCCATTTTCTGTTCCTCTGGTTTTTGCCTGAGTTCTGGTGGCATCCATGAATACTGTTAAATCAACTATCAGTCTGAGTTTTTAAAGATGATATAATATAGATTAGGATAATCTCATCACTTCCCTTGGGAAATAACTAATATCCAAGCTACACTGGGTCATATGTTCTAGTCAGAACTTTTTAGGGGAATGCTGTGAGAGAAGAATAGATCCATCATATATGGATGGAGACTTAAAGGTTCAAACTATATGTACCAGACAATCCTTATATGATGCTCTGTGCTTTCTATACCAGCTCTGGCTAGTTCTGTGTTAACATGACACAAGCTAGAGTCATTGGAGAGGAGGAGCCCTCAATTGAGGAAATGCTTCCATAGGATTGGACTTGGCCAGGCCTCTTGGGCATTTTCTTAATCACTGATTGATGGAGGAGGGCCTATCCCACTGTGGGTGGTGCCACCTCTGTGCTGGTGGTCATGGGTTCTAAGAAAGCAGGCTGAGCAAGCCATGAGGAGACAGTCAGTAAGCCACATTCTGCCATGGCCTCTGCATCTCCTGCCTCCAGGTTCCTGCCCTGTTTGAGTTCCACCCCTCCTTCCTTCAGTGATGAACAGTGATGTGGACACATAAGCCAAATAAACCCCTGTTTGAGTTCCATCCCTCCTTCCTTCAGTGATGAACAGTGATGTGGACACATAAGCCAAATAAACCCTTTGGCCGTGGTGTCTCATCACAGCAATAGTAACCCTACTGTCTTGCTTCGTATTTTCACAGGCCACCCCTTACATCCTGACGTGTGGTAGATTTAACTTCTTCGTTTGGTTACTCCCATCCTGCCAGAATGTGTTCTCCAGGCAGGTAAGAATCTTCATCTGATTTGTTTACTGTGATATCTTCCTTGCCTTGAACAGCGTCTGGTATACAGTAGGTTCTTAACAATGCTTTAGTGTAATAGATGCAACTAATAGTGTTATCAACAAATAATGAATTAAGTACTAGTAAGCTTATAGTATTTGTCATCAACTAATAGTGTCATCAACAAATAATGAATTAAGTGCTAGTAAGTTTATAGTATTTGGTAAATTAATGAATAAGTGAATAAATAAGAATGTATGAGTCATTTTGTACTGTTTCCCTATGTCTGACATCATTTTAGTTTATTATTACACTGGCTGGTGTTTAAAATCCTTTTTTTAAAAAAGCTCATTGGTGAATGGAACCATCTTTCGTTCATATCTATTATCTAGAGCCTCCTAAACTGGACACAATGAGTATCTGTTGTGTGAAAAACATATTTAACTACTAATTATCATTAGCACAGTTGAATGGATTCATTAATATATATTAAATAAACACAAATTTAAATGCATTTTATACTATTACTTTTTATTTTATGTGTACGGCTACTCTGCCTGCATGTTCGTCTGTGCATCACTTGCATGTGTAGTACCTGCAGAGGCCAGAAGAAGGCATAAGATTTCCTAAGAGGGCAGTGTGTGAAGCTGAACTATTATGTACAGTTAAGCGGTAAGATTTTATGGCCATTTTAAATGAATACTATTCAGAAGCCATAAAAATGCTTAAAAAGACAAAATTAGTTTTGCAGAAAAGTATTACTAACAGAACTACAACAATGCGAAGAACATTTCTTTCACATCAAATGACAAATGTAAACAGCCATTTCTCAGATTCTTATAAATGATCAAGGTGAACAGAAGGGGGCATCAAGCAGGCAGCACGCATGCATGAGAGCGCTGGACGAGCTGGACTCCATTAGCTCCACATCAGCAGGCTGCAGTAAGAGATCTTCTTGAGCAACCACGGAAGCAACACTGATGACTCATGTATATACCAGTGTACCTCTTTTTCCGCGAAAGAGTGTCCAAGTATAAGGATTTAAGTTCTGGAAGACTGCTGTCTTCTGCTTCACCTTGTGTAGCATGGAAACTTTTCTTAAAGTCGTCCAAGCTACCAACTGAATCGCTCGATACAGGCACATATTGTTGCTGCTCTGGTAGAGATGGATGCCCTTCAGGCAGTGCTGTCTTGGGTTTCTCTGACAAATTTGGCATTGTGTCGAAAGGCTCTGCATCTTCCTTGATGAAGGAGGATACAGCTTCTTCTATGTTTAAAAGAAAGTAGGTAGGGGAGAAAATATTCATGTGAAGGAACATTTGGGAAACTACAGACATTTTAATAGAAAAAAACACATTTTGCCAGGCTATAATTAAACACTGAAACAGAATCAGCAAGTATTGAATATACAAATGGTTTTGCTTGTTGGACAGTCTGGAGTGTTACTATCTTATCAAGGTTCTGTCTATCCCACATGGCCTCCCAACATCTTTCTTAAACACTTCTTTCTTGCTTTTTAATCACAGCAATTTTTACCCTTTGATATTGAACTCCTATTTTTCTGAAATCCTGTTGGCCATTGAAAACCCTAGTTTTCATGTTTCCTAAAAGCATGGCAGGGTGTCACATGCTTTTAATTCCGGAACTTGAGGGACAGAGGCAGGTAGATCTCAGTGAAGTAAGTCAAGGCCAGCCAGGTCTACAGAGTAAGTTTCAAGACAGCCAGGACTGTGTAGAGAGACCTTGTCTCCAAACAAAGCAGAAACAGAACAAAACAAAACCCCACTCATTTACATGGTTTCTAGCCTGAGTAATTTTCTTCATTGCTTTTGAGTTGTCAGAGTAACCCTTGAAAAATATTTTCAAAGATGTAAGATCTAAAGTAGCCCTGTAATATCAAGTTACTACTTCAGGATAAAGTTTAAAGGACAGATTCTCAGCAGTTCAGCTCTGACTAGAGGAGCATGTATGTCTCTAAACACTTGCATGGCAATCATCCGCCCACAGAGTGTGCTCCAAGTCAATGATATTGTATATTCCAGAGAGAAACAGTTGTAAATAGTGCTTCTGAACCGTCCCAATGCTGCACGTGACCCTTTGATACATTTCCTCATACTGTGCTGACCGCCAACCATAAAATTATTTTCATTGCTACTTCATAGCTGTAATTTTGCTACTGTTGTGAATCGTAAATACCTGAAATGCAGGATATGTGACCCCTGCTCCCAGGGGTCTCAACCCACAGGTTGAGAACTGGTGGCTTAAAAGCACAGTAATCCCAAACCATGTGCTTAGTGTCTCCCATGGTGTCCCAGAGTGTTAAGTGTGGTGTCTGCCCAGTGCTATGGGAACCCCGCTAGAATCACCTGGTCCCTGCCTTTGTTGGTTTGTTTGTTTTTCGAGACAGGGTTTCTCTGTGGCTTTGGAGGCTGTCCTGGAACTAGCTCTTGTAGACCAGGCTGGTCTCGAACTCACAGAGATCCGCCTGCCTCTGCCTCCCGAGTGCTGGGATTAAAGGCATGCACCACCAATGCCCAGCTCCTGCCTTCTTAATACATATTTATAGTTCAACATTCACTAATTGTTCCATGTGGCAATGCCAGTTAGGAGTTTAAAAAGACCAAAAGATTTTCTGCCAAAAATAAAGAACCACCCCCCCAAAATCCCTTACAGTAACACAAACCTTTCCCTGGCCTTACTTATTTCAAATGCACAAAATGAGTTTTAGCAAACAAAGAAACTGGAAATGTTGTTACGTTTAAGTTTAGTACAATGGCTCAGTTCTTGCTGCTGCTCTTCAGCTTAGCAATAAGTCATTCCTCTGGAAATAATAAGACCAAAGAACCTAAAAGACACAATGTAAGTGTGGAAGGGAGATGCTTGGCCATGGAGGCTTACCCAGTAGAGAAAGCCAAATCCTTCACCTGTACAGAGGTGCCTGGGGCATAGCTTCTTCCTGAGATTACTGTTGTTCATTGAGTCAACAATATACTCCAGCAGTTGGAATTTGGTAAGGGGAAGCAATAGTTCTTCTCACTGCTCCCGGCTCATTCACCGTCGCAACCAGGCATGGCAGGTGACATTCTGTACCATTTCATGTATATCAGAAGCTTTAAGTCTTTTTTGCAATAAGACTCTCTAACTTTCACTCACTTTATTGGTCCCTCCTTGCTCTAAAATTTTGTTCAGATAGGGCCTTCTTGGCAGCCAAGCAAAGTTGATGATAACTCTGTATGTATTTAGAGTAAGCAAGCAAAGGCCAGTTATAGTTTGGGTCGGAGTTAACGTGCAGGCTGTGGACCTTGAAAATCTTTATTTAAAATTATTTTTTACTTACTTGGAAATCCATACTTTTAATTTATAGATACTAAACTCAAATATTACATTTTAATATACCTGAGTTTGCTCATACATGCTTTTTAAGCATTGAATTATAGCCATGGTAGTCCGAAAACTAACTTCACTTTTCTCTAGGGTTTCTCCTGCATTTCCCTACTCTTTCGATTGAACTGCAAGACCCAATTCAAAAAGATGCAGGACAAGGCTTGCTCTGTGACATGCCTCAAAACGGAGAGCGGGAGTTTTCCATGCATACTCCACAGCCGCATTTGGGCAGTGCTAGGATCAAGCGCCAGCCACCCTAGCACGAAGTTGCTGGCAGTGGCTGCATGCCCACCTCCCTCTGATAGGTTCTCATTGGAACTCTTTAACCCAAGCAAGTTACAAAGACCAAACCCGAGGCTGGGGATCACAAGCCATGGAGGATGGGGATTTTCCAATCGGTGGGAAGCACGGGAAGGCAGGGAAGAGGGCGCTCACCTGTCATTCGCCGACGTCGCAGAGGTGGTGCCTCCAACCCCACGGTGGCCGCACAGATGTCCAAAATCGCACGGACATATTCCCGACCGCACACGTGGATGACTTCATCCAGCCATTCCTTCGTGACCCGCGCCCTGCAAGGCTGGCTCAGCAGCAGCCAGAACCCCAGGAGCTGGAGCACGAATTTGCAGGACATCTTGGTGGGGCAGCTTCTGTGAGGCTCAGTCTTGGCAGGACTGGGCTAGCCTGCTTTCCTAGTGCTCAGCCCGGCTTTTATATCCCTTGGGCGCTCCTTGCGCCTGGATGTAATGTTCCAGCTCCACCCCCTTGCCTTCTTGGATCTTGATCACCTTTCTCACTTCTTTGTCATCAGGTCACTCTTCTGACCTTGTCCCTTTCACAGCATTTTCCCCCTCTGCTCTTGCCCTCAAATAATTTTGTACACCAAAGTTACTCTGGATTTGAGGCTATTTCTTGATTACAGAATAAGGCATGCCCACTGCACTAACTCAAATCAGCAGTAAAGTCGAGACCACCATCTCACAAACAAAGGCTTGCCAGGGCAAGAATGTGCCCTGACACCTTCCAACCCCAGTAAGGTTATAGCTGCAGTGTCTGGTATGTCAGTCTGGAGAAAATAGAGCGGGAGCAGGGTAAACTGTTGGCAAGAGAGGGAAACTAACTACTTTTCACCAGAAACATGGTAGAAAACATTGGAATTTGTCTTTTGTTTTCTTTTGCTGATGTGAATGCTTTTATGATTTCTTTCCAGCAAATTTCTTTTTTGTTGTTTTAAAATGCTGTGAGTTTTGTATGTTGGCTTTAGACCCTAGAGTGGAGATTCTGCTAATCATAATGGAATATGACATATATAAAATTTGCACCATTTGACATTTGACTTCTTCGCTCCCTTTATCTTCTCTGTACTTTATTGGCTTATTTATTGTTCATCCTAAACTTTTTAAGACTATGTTGAATGAGAACGGTGATAACCAATGTCCTTGACTTGTTTTAAATATCACAGGAAATATGTTCAGCTTCTCTGTATTCAATATGATGTTACATACTCTTGATTATGTTAGGGATGAGCCTCCTATAAATTTTAAATCATGAAGCAATGCTGAATTTTATCCAATGCTTCTCCTACTTCCATTGAGATTATTTTATGATTTTTGTAATTCATTCTGATATATTACATTTATTGATTTGCATATGGTAAACCATCCTTATATTTATCTCTAGGATGCATCCACTTTGGTCACCTTGGTGACCATGAATAATCTTTCTGATGGTTTAGTATTTTCTTGAGTGTTTTTGTGTCTATGTTCATCAATGACTTTGGTCTGTAGCTCTGTTTCTTGGGTCTTTGTCTGCTTTTTGGTATGGGGCAATGCTGACCTGGTAGAATGAATTTGATATTTAGAATAATTTGAGAATAAGTGATACTTCTTTCACAATTTGGTAGGATTCAGCTGCAGAGCTATCTGGGACCAGATGTTTCTTTGTTGGTTGACTCATTACTCATGTTAGTCTAATCTGGTTGTCTATGTCCTAACTGTTCAATTTTGATAAGTAATCTATATATAGAAATGTATCCATTTTTCTTTCCCTTTTAAAATATTTTAATGAAATTGATTTATTAGATATTGTACATAGCATATAAGGCCTTTTCAGATTTTTTACACTGTCCTCAATGATGCAACTATAGTATTTTGTAGCAGACATATGATTAAAATAAAATAATCACCTCAGTTGTGGTGCCTCAGCCTGGAGGTCTAACCAGACTAAAGACCCAAAAATCTGCCACATATTTTTTAAAAACAAGACTGGAAATTAAGCAAACATTCCTTACTCCAACTAGAGAATATCTTAGTTAAAACCCCTAAAATGTGATTAATAATAATACTAGCTATTATTATTAGTAGTAGTAGTAGTATTTTGGGGGTTCAAGACAGGGTTTCTCTGTGGCTTTGGAGGCTGTCCTGGAACTAGCTCTTGTAGACCAGGCTGGTCTCGAACTCACAAAGATCTGCCTGCCTCTGCCTCCTAAGTGCTAGGATTAAAGGCTTTTAATAATAATTTGTCACACTTCCTTTACATATAGTTCTTTTGCTTGGGGCATGTAACTACACTACTAATGCCTTCCAACGCCATTAGTATGTTTTGTTTTTTCTCAGAAAATTTAAAATATCTTTTGCATTAAACATATATGGGTAATGTCTGGCATATGAAAATACTGGTACCAGAAAATCTAACTTCTGACAGCATTATTCCAAATTCCACAGCAAGTTTTATTTTTATATACCACCAAGTCATGCAGCCCCATAGGAGACTAGCCAGGGTAGCAAGAGAAAACCTCAGAGTAGCAAGAGCTTAGGGAAAATTCTTGTCTTAGAGTTGCTGGACACCTAAGAAAAAAGGAGCAAATACATGCTTTCCTGATGGTAACTTTCTCTTTTACTTCATCTTAAAAATCTCTCTGAAAATCTCACTGTCTCCACACTGCTACATAGCTTTTCATACCTGCCTGCTTCTTTCTCTCAGTTCTTCTCCATAGACAAAATCTGGACAAATACAAGTTACACAGGCCCCACCCATGACCCATTATCGTAATAGAAGACAAGTCACATAGTTTCTTTTAGGCCAGGGATGTCACATAGTTTCTCTTAGGCCAGGGATGTCATATAGCTTCTCTTAGGCCAGAGATGTCACATGGTTGCTCTTAGGCTAGGCATGTCATGTAGTTTGTCTTAGGCTAGGGATGTCACACTGAGCAGGGAGGGAGTGACACCTGGCCAAAAATGTATCTCTAAGTTGGTGAGGGTTCCCAGACAGTAAACAACTGGCTGAACCTTGAGTAGTATGGAGTACACGCAGAAAATGAGGTTATGTTTAATAAGTTGTTTCAAGCTCTGAACTTCAATCATCAAAATGACACCTGGGAAAATTACCTCATTTAGGTGTCCCTGGGGGCAACCAGATATTTGTCTCCAGGGCTGACCGACCTGCTTTGAATTTGTTCTGGAGTCAAAAATTAGCTGTCTGTGTAAAAGGTTGTTTTTGAAACTGAGAATCCTGTGTCACACTGAGTAATGTAAAATATCCTAGTATTATTTTTATTCATTAAAATTATGCAGCACAAATCATCTTCCTGATCATCCACAGCTATTATGTGTGTCCAGGAAGTGGAAAACACCCCACCAAAGGCTGTGGCAAAGACCCCAGAGCTATTCTTATTAGGGAGGCATATCAATGGTGCACAAGGAAGTTACAGACAGAAAACAACCAGTCAGTTACAGTCAGTAACCGCATGTCTTTGCCAAGTGCCCTCCCAACAGGGAACCATTTGTCTGGTGGGTAGATCTGTTAAACATGATCCCATGGCACCCTCCATTATTCCAAATCCCACAGCAAGTTTTATTTTCAGACAGCATCAAGACATTGCATTTTTAAAAAGTGTACACAATGATCTTGATTCTTTAACCCAGCGATAGACTATATCCTGTCTCAGCTGCATGAGAACGGGTAGCATTTTTGCTGGAGTCTGACAGGAGGGTTCTTAGGGAACAGACAGATGGGCAGCTGCCTCTGGAGCCATGTTCTGAAGTTTTCAGGATGTTAGTTCACTGGTGCTCACAGTTCGCTAAGGACCCTCCATGGTCCTCACATACTGGCTATAATGCCCCCTTCTTTGTTTGTAACCTTAATTAAATGCATGTCCTTTATTCCCTGTCTCAGTTATTCTAACTAAAAGTTTCTCAATTTTGTCTATCTTCTCAAAGACCAGCACTTCATTATTTATCTTTTTAACTCTATTTTATTCTCTATGCAGTCTTTGTTCTTTGTTATTTTGGATTTGACCTGCCTTTACATTTCTTGGTCTTTGAAATAAGTAATTAGCAGCACTCGGGAGGCAGAGGCAGGCAGATCTCTGTGAGTTCGAGGCCGGGCTGGACCAACAGCCTCCAAAACAATACAGAGAAGCCCTGTCTCGTAAAAACCAAAAAAACAAAACAAAACAAAACAAAACAAAAACAAAAACAAAAAAACGAAATAAGTAATTAGGCTATTATTTGATATCTTCTCCTTTTTTCTGAAGCATTTATTGCTTTATGTCACTGTTGCTTTTGAGGTTTTTTAAATTCCATATCATTTGGTATGTTAATTCTGTCTTCGTAAGTTTTAATAATTTTATTTTTAGCCTAATATTTAATTTTCTTCCATTACATTGTTTAAGGATGTACAAGAAAAGAGAGATACAATATAGCTTTTTGAGATATTATCAAAAAATAGGATAGTATACTTTTTATTATTTTTTGTAGTAGGAGTATATAGACATGGTTGAAAACATTGTTAATTTCCTTTTTATTTCTTTAATGACTCAGTATTTACTCAGTATCATGTGTTCAGTCTGCATACATTCATATAATTATATAATTTCTGACGTTCCTTTTATCCTTTTTTTTTTCCATTACAGCGTTTCTCTGTGTAATCACCCTGACTGTCCTGGAGTGTTATCTCTCTCTGTGTCTCCCTCTCTCTTTTTCTGTCTCTCTGCCTCTGTCTCTGTCTCTGTGTCTCTGTCTCTGTCTCTCTGTCTCTCTCTGTCTCTGTCTGTCTGTCTATCTCTCTCTCCACCAGCCTGGCCTCCAACTCACAGTTCTGCCTCTGCCTCCTGAGTGTGCTAGGACTAAATGTGTGCACCACCACCTCCCGGCTTTTTCTTTTATTATTATTATTATTATTATTATTATTATTATTATTATTATTATTAAGATGTTTTATTTTTAAGTTTAAATTTAGATTAGAAACATGGTTGGTTCACAAGTCAGTCCCGGCTAGTTTTTCTTTTTCTTTTTTTTTCCAGAGAGGGTTTCTCTGTGTAGCTTTGTAGACCAGGCTGGCCTCGAACTCACAGAGATCCACCTGCCTCTGCCTCCCGAGTTCTGTGATTTAAGGCAGGCAATCACCACTGTCCAGTTTCTGGCTTGTACCTTTTATTTTTGATTTCGAGTTATATTATATTATGGCTAGAAAAAGTACATGATATGACTTTGGTTTTTAAAAATCTGTTGTTTTCTCTTTTCCTAATGTATAGAATACCCCACATACTGATGAGGTGTGTTTGACAGCTGTGGGTTGAAAGATTCCACTAGTATCTTTCTTTGTGAGTTAATTCTGGTGTTTCTTTGTATC